ATACTAAAGGAAGGAGAGGTTAGTAAATGTGTAAACTACAGAGGCACTGTGGATTACCTGATAAGATCTCATCATCGCATAGAATTCCTACGACGGCCTGCACTGCGACAAGACTGTTTACTATCACTATTTGCCTTTATTCTCGTGGCTGACTGAGTTGTGAAGACCACCATATTTCAGTGGAAGTACAGAATACAGTGGACAGCTTTGATTCAGCTGTACTACTCGGGCTTCGTAGATGACCTAGCTTGTCTATTCCGCACTGGAAAAAATGTATATGAAGACTGTTAGTGTATGAGTAGCTTCTGCATCAGCAGCCTTCATTATACACAAAGGAAAATATAAAACATTGAGTACACATGAAATGGAGAAGCTTTTGAAGACGAGGAAGCTTTTAAGTAGTTGAGCAGCATCATTGATAAACAAGATGGATTCGCTACAGATGTTAATTCACGAATTAAGAAAGCGATTACAGCATTTCTACAAATGAAGAACATGTGGAACTCAAAGCAATTTTTAGCCAATACCACGGTCAGAAATAGAGATGAAACTTGGATAACCGTGAAACCTTTCACCAACAAAGGACAGGTGTTTATACAGAGTTGTCCAAGCAAGATACTTCAGGTCTAATGGCTAGAAAGAATGAAGAGCAGTGTTCTGTGGCAGCTTCCTGCCGAATAAGAAATTAGGAAAAAGCTCTTGAAAGGGATAGGACGCACATGGACCTAACTTGGGATCCTCGAGGCCAGAAGGAAAAGAGGTAGACAGGTGAACGTTTTGCGCCGAGAATTGGAGGCAGACATCACAAGAACGAATAGCACTTGGGAAAAGATAGAAGAGATAGCTTAGGAGAATTCTAGTTGGTAGCCTATCCCTCACGACTGGCAGCAGGAGTTAGTAGGTCAGTAATTAAGTCGTCCAAAGATTTGTCTCTATAACTGTGTCTGTAATGACTAGATGGACAACTTGTTAATATTATTTGAGTGGTTAGAAATTTTGAAAGCTTACTGGCTTAGTCAACTATTCTAGTGAAGTAATCACTAAACTGTATAAATCATTTGAGCTTCTGTCAGCAAGATTGTGCAGGAAGATGAATGACCACAATTTTTATAGACTGTTCTAATATCATATCTATAAATAAAATATGAAGAGATGTTATAATGATTTAGTTTAGGTAGTTGATGGGTAAATTATGAATCGATTGATTCAGTGATACAGTAAACCGATGAATCCAAACTAAATCATAATGGCAATAGCAAGAGTGTTTTAGGAAAAATAGGGAAATGATACAAATTCTGAAAATGATAGTTCACCGGTTAATTTGTAAACATTTGTTCGATCGATTCGGTACGCTAGCGACTAGTATGTTAATGTTTACATAAAAGGTACATATATATATGCAAATTTCATCTTATATTTATCGACTGCAATGAAAACTAACATTTACACCATTGAATATTTGATCTCTAATACATGATATACATTTGTATTCTTCATGTTTTCGATTCTTTGCTTCTTCATAATACTAATGTAAAACAATTAGGCACGAATACTAGTGAATCTACTAATTTTTTTTACAATGTTTTTCACACCAAACAATCATGTAAAATTAAAAATACACATTACTGTAGAGATAATTAAAATAAACTTAATCCATACAGAATTCTTGTGATTATTCATATCTTTCACAATTTCATTCAACTTGTACATATTTTGGTGTTGACAATAAAATGTTATTTAAATCAACATGTTAACTTCCTAAATATAAATGTATATAAATATATAACATGTGCTACTTATCACGCTGTGTTCTATGATTTGTTGTTCATCTACCAGGTTTCCAACAAACATAGTCATATATATATTATAGCTGTTGCTTACAATGCTTACCTTGTTAGTTTCTTCTCTCCAATATCACTAAATATATCGACTGATTCAGAAATGATATTTTTCCTGCATAGATTAATGGATTTAGTTTTATCGCCAATTTAATAGCCATACATTCAATATTTGTAAGAAATCGAATATGAACTTGTTATTAATTGATGTTTGACGTCAAGTAATGACTGCTTATATTCATTTTAAAATCATTTCTAATAAACTATCAACTGTAATTATAATTTGTTTTATTCTCGTCAGAATAAAGAGATATTACTCTTTACTACCTATTATCATTAAGTAGTATAATTTAAAACAATGAAAGTAAATGGGAAGGGAACAGTATGGGTTTCCTTTAAATTCTGTTCCTGTTGGACATTTTCATGGTTTTATTAGTTATGAAAGCTATATATCTCTGTTGAAACTCCTTGTGTGAGAAGATTTTTCTAATTGCTATGGTACAAATATATAATTTATGAATGTACCCTCACATTGGCCCAACTTCAATAAGCTTGCATTAGTATACAGTTAACGTCGAATGTAACATTTTGTAGCTGTCAGATTACAAGAAGGAAGTTTTTACTTCAGTAATCGGGCCTTTATTTTGAAATTTAATCTTGAGGAATGAACTTCGAAAGTTTGATCTATTCAAATCATGAAATTCCGTTATTGTAAGATTTATTAAAGGTTGTTCGCTTTTCCTTGACTCTTGTCGTTTTGTTAGTTGATTTAGTGCAAAACAATCTACTCATACGTTTTACCTGATGCGAACATATTTATTAGACTTGTTAATTAAACGTGACAGCAGCTTATATTGTTTATCAAAACTTGGAATGTATTCACTTTATTATTTGCCCATAGAAAATGCTGATAAACCACATGAATCAGACTGGAGTTTGAACGTATTTTGTTGATAGCAAATGAGCGGTAAATAAGTTTGTACGAGAGCTTAGTGTTTTAGTATTGACAACCGCAATTTTATTAAAAGATTGCATTCAAATTTTCGTCATTTATCCACGTATTGCTAATTAAAACTTTAGGTAGTTTACGTGAAAAATACCTGCTTTTAAAGTATCTCATTCTTATTTCTTGAAGATATATGTTCATTGAGTTTGTTAGAATCAATAAACTCAATTCTGATAATGATGTGTTATCATGCACAACACAGTCATTTGTTACATATATTTTAAGAAATACAGTAATCCTGAGTATAATGTGTATTCAACAAGGCAAATACATCACATTTTTCCGATCAATTACATCTTCTCACTGTTTTATCAAAACATTCAAGAACTGGTGGCATTCATTTTACTAAGGTGCAAAGAGTTTGAAGACATTTTAGCAAAGAAATTTGTCAAATATCTGCATTTCTAATTAATAATAATCATACAATAGTTTGTTTGGAATTAGTTGTTAATTGTGGTTTTTTAGTTTCGTCTGAACACTTTTTACGTTCAACAAATGGACAGTCAGCACATAAACATTCTCATCATTCTAATTTATGTTCATTATCCTGTGAATTAATATAAAACTTTAGTTCTGGTACACGAAACTATTGCACAATTTAATAATGATGCAATATCATCACAAATCGTGCTTGTGGGTAATCTTTCACGTAGTAAAATATAAGGATTTCACAGAATTCCTAATGATTGACAGAGAAAATGAAATGGTTATACGTAGTCTGATCAAGATTATTAAAATTTTTCAAGTTTTGAATATAGTGGTAATCATAATTCATAAATGGGTGTTACTTCAATGTAATTAAATTTTTTTCAGCATTGCAGTAATCAAAACCCACGAACAGCCTACGTTATGAAATTGTTTTAGGAGTAGTAACAGGAAAAAATCCATAAAATAAGAAATTAAAGATAATCATCTTCTTGATAAAGGAGGAGTAGACGATCGTAAAAATTTACACGAATAATTTGTAAAGTTTAAAGGGGTGCTAAGATTATGATACTGAGTATGTTTGACTATCGTTGACAATTTTGTAAACTCTGTTTTAACATAGACTACTATTTCTTCAATACTATCATCATAAGTTCCAGTTGTATAGCATAAACAGAATACAATCAGTCAGTATAGCAAATATATTTACCTTAGTTTATTGGTTGTGTGTTCATAAAACTCTTTGAGTGTATCAAATAGTGTTGAAGATATCAGCTGAAACAAAATTCTACATGTCAGGTCTTACCGATCAACTGTTTTAACGTAATTCGGTTGAGTATAACAAAGTGACCTGATAAAGTCAAAGTAGTTCAATGTTCTGAGGATTTCCAATGAAATCTGTTGACTATGCATGTAATGTATGTAATAGGATCCTCTAAATTCAACCAGTGATTAACTAGAATGAACAGCATTATTATTTTTTCAGCTGAAACTATCATAATCATTATTTGATGAAGAGTTTCCCAAACGCCTATTTTGTTGTAATTGATATGTAGTAAACAGTTTTTGATTTCCTTTTTGAAAGAAAATCGATAAAAATTATTTTATGAATCCTAATAAAATTAATTATAGACTTGAAAAAGTCTAGTAATTCAAGTGTTCCTATAAGTCTTCATATTACTTTTATTTTTTTACATATTCGAATATTTTTAAACTCTACTTTACGATTAGTTTATAATTTCGAACACCATAAACAATTAACTATAACCTGAAGAATGATTTTTGGTTTTTCTTTATTATGACTCTATTTTTCTGCAGTATCCTTTCATAAGTCATCAAATAAACAGATTAAACTAGAATTTGATAATAACCTCATAATATGAATAACGTAGAGCTACTGTTAAATCATCGGCTAGCCATTATGGTGTATTGAAAACTGATTACAACAAATGTTAAACTAAAATGCACTTGTGTGTTCTGAAAATCATTGTCCAAATCAGGTCTGCATTGAAAAATCTTCACTCGAAATATAACTCAACTCTGGTTACTTGAAAACGGATGCTGTAAACGACCACAGGTGTTTGTTATGAAAATCACTAATGGTAGTCTGTTAATCGATTACTTTACTACGATAAACAAATTTTTTTAAATCAAAATATTTATTATTTACATATGTTTGTTTAAGTACAAGGCTTTTTAATTAAGGACATAATCACAATTACAAACAATACATCTCCTTACTCAAAGTGGATATAAAATTCATATATTTAACGTACAATATTGGGTTAACTTATTAGTATCTTGATAATAAATACAAGGAGGAATTTAGGGGAAACTTTATCAAGAACAAAGTTTTTAGTTGTATACTAGGATACTACTGACTTCTGGAATTTAGTAGTAAGTAACAAATGCAATAGAAAGCAGTAGGGTTTCATGTGAATTGCATTGCCTTTGTGATGAGGTGTAAAGTAAGTAAATATTTGTTCATATTCTCCGAAACTTGATGGAGCCAAAAGACTTGACGTCTGAGATTTTTTCAAATCAGTAAATGTTTTGATAAATTGTGAAGTTATACCGAAATAATATTAATAAATGAAACTACTGTAGAGAAAACAAATCTTGCTTTATGAATATTCGTATGAAGAAAGACTTGTACACTGAATGTCAACATAAATAATCATATTAGAAGATATCTATGAATAAAATGCACACTGAATATAATTGCACACACAGATCAGATAAGTTTTACCTAGATACATTTATTTTTCCTTGTTAACCTTCCCAACAAACATAATTGAAAAAATTATTCTAAGCGTTAGAAGAATTGCAATACGGTAAAATATAATCTCAGAGATATCAATTAATGGGAAAACAGGAAGATTAAATTGGAACAAAAACATATTGGAAGGTATTTTCATCCTAAATGTAATATTTTACACGATCTTGTAGTGATGTAATATGAAATGCGAATTTAATCGGCTTTCGTCAACTCCCTCTCAGTTTAACCATTCTGAGTTAATTTCGATCAGCAATTGTAATAGCTAATTTAATGAAATATATAACTACTGTTTGTTTACCTAATTAAGGTGTATGAAATATTCAAAAATTTCTCATCCGTTTTATAAAAAACCAGATAATTTACGATAAGTGAGATTTTGTTGGAAATTGTGATCTGACAGTAATAATTATAGAAATGATCTGATAAACAGAATTTTATTTTTGTTATGATTTGGCAAAGCATTTTACTTTGCAATATTTGAACAATTGCAATGTATGCTTGTTTAGAATGCCTGAGGGTGCTTTTATAGAACTGTATTGACAGGAAGATCATGAGACATTTTTACAGTTGAGTGCATCCGAAAATTTGAAGTCCTTCATCAATATCCATCTAGTTTTTTACTGATTAGACATTGATTTAACAAGCTTTACCAGTTTAATGTGTAATATTCTTCCGCGTAATAAACTTAAAATGTTTTAAAATATAATTGTCATACTACTAATAATCAAAAAAGTAACTAAACTGGTAGACGATAAGCAAATATAAACATTTTTAAACAGCAGAATAAACCTATGTACAGATTTCGCACACAGATTTCTTTGTAATGGAAAACAATTCTTGCATTTGCTAAATAAGATAAAAACGCAAATGGTAGATTGAAGAAACCGAAAATGAGAATAATATAAAATTTCCGAAATTATTTTTCTTTTCATCCTTTTTACTCTTTTTAAATAGTTTCTTCTGAATCTTCTCCAGATCTTGGAAAATAAAGTATTATAGAAATTCCCAAAGCACAGAGGTAGATAATAAAGAACAGACGATCTAACACCATACCAACTGCTCTCCATTCGGAAATAATTTTGTTATTTTTCTCCTTTTTCTCATTTTGTTTTTGCATGAAGCGTATACCTTTGACAATTTCCGAAACATCACGTGTGACCATGTGTACACGTTTTAAAAGACGTTGATCAGTGGTATTAGTTGGTTTTTTAGATCGACGATTGATAAAACTACTTGAATTAGCACGCCATAAATTGTTATTATCCGGATCATGATGAATTTCCTTATCGGAATCATGATTTAAACCACGTTGGTTACGACTACCGATACTATGTCCAGCTGAACTCCATCTTGGTATATTCATTTTGTCCTGTTCATCGTCTTCAGAATCATCTTGACATAGAGGTGAAGTGAAAGGATATGATGGTAATGTGGGTTGAGTATTTTGTAAAGAGCTATTCCATTTAGCATTAGCAGGTGATATAGTGTTTTTAGACATTCTAGGTTTAATACATTGTAATAGAAAATGTTCTAAATCAGGCGCAATATTTTTGTTACGCGTTGGGTATGGTTCATCGTCTTCATCATCTGTCACTTCTTCCTCATCTTCACTTTGTTTACTATTTTCAATTAAACCACGAGGTGATAAACGTTTATTACAAATATTTGGATCATTATTAGCAGCTGCCCAAACAGCTGCTAATTCATCATTTGGATCTTGATTGAAATAGTTCTTAGGTGTTACTTGCGTGGAATATTGTTGTTCAGCATGATAACCTGGGTCAATATCATTTGATGCACGAGCAGATGCTGCGGCAGCTGCCGCTGCTGCAAGTCCAGCACAAGCTGGACAAAATGAACATGGTGTAGTCTGCTCAGTTTCTTGTGTTTGTCTTCTACCATAATGTTTCATTTCAGTTTCATGATCGGGGTAGTAGCAACCAGGCAGTTTATGATTTGGTGATCCTGTTGAAAATTGTGATCTCATATGCATTTGGCGAGAATTAGGAAAGCAACGTTCTGGTGAATAGAAATTATTCACATATGGTTTCCCAAAACGATTTACTTTTGCATTATCTGAATAAATGAATAAAAATACACATGTGCTCACAAAGGTAGTACGAAATAATCAAATCCTAAATTACGAAGTAATAGCAAAAGCTACAATTAGTTATGTTCATTTTTCTAGGGAAACATCGATAAATATAATTGAACTGATAACTTAAGAAATTTTTTAACTGATTAATTAAGGAACTGTACATGATCTCATAAGTTCAAAACATTTTTAAATACCATAGCGAAAGATAAAAGAAATATTCAAATGATTTTGTATACGACTGCTACTATCATGAATAAACAAATTTAATCATGTTTAAAACTTGTCATCTTAAAACGTTTCTAGTTGTTGATGTTATGACACTTAAAGATAGTTTTCATTACGAATTGATACTAAACGAAAAAAAACTATCAGCGAAAATGAAGCACTAAACATTTGTTTTGTTATTTCTTGAAAATCAACATGAATTCAGAATTACATACGATTTCCTAATCAATGTCTTGAGACTGTTCAGTGATCATTATTATTTTAAAACAATTTCTCAAAATTTAACTGTTCAGTTTTTTTCTAGTATGATGCTTGTTCAAGCACAGTTATCTATGACCGACTATATCATACCCAGTTACTGACTGGTTTAAGAGTGGTTCATCCAATTTCACATGGAATTGATTTAATGACAGAGGTAGAAATATGTGGTGTTGTAACTGTTGATTGAAATCAAATCTTGAACGCGTAAACTACAAGTTTTACAAATGACACGTTTCGCAAATGACACGTTTTATTCTTATCATGATATCATAATGTTGTTTTCAATATTCCAACTATAATTCTTTTACAACGGGTTATCACTTCTAAATTATCTAAACGGTTAAAAAATGTTTAGAGGACTTCACTGTTACGCTCGTCTCTAGATATGTTTAAACTATTACGAGTTCACCTTAGTCGAATAACGAGAACAAAACAATGGACCAGCGTCCAGGTAGGCTACTGTGATCCCTTGACCAAAAGGTATCACCAAGAAGTCTTGATATAGTGTAGAAATTGTATTCTACAAACACCCAACCAGCACACAACGAATTCAAGCACTCTAATTGCGTTTATTTATACTGTTTAAAGACGACCTTGGGACAGTCACAAAAACAGCACACTAAAATGACACAGTAACCAATCACAGCCAAGGGTTTTCCTGGTGGGAAATGTGATCCCAAGGTTAACTGATCGGTCCATGAAATAAATCCAAAATAGCAATATTTATCAAGCGAGTTCTGGGGATCTAACATCCCCAACATTTACCAAGTTTGTAGTTTCAATCATACACTCATATCTGTCTGTCTGTCTATCTATCTATCTATGTATATATGTAAATAGTGAGTAGTAAATTATCTAGATCCCCCCGAAAAAATAATCAAATTATCAAGTACATAAAATCTTACCCTTAAATTTTTCATGATAATCATTTCTTGTAAGTGGGAACATTTTCTGATTGAATGAATTATCACGTAATAAGTTGTCTGGTGTTAGCATGAAATTGTGCGCAGAGTTCATATTTGTCATTGGCTTTTCAGTTGATTTTTTAGAAGATGCTGAGGTTGGAGGTGGTGGACCTCCAGGTGGACCAACATTAACTAAAAGAATTCTGGATCCATGATGTAATGCTAACTGGAAAAAGTATTACAAATAAAGTGACAAATAAAGATTTTTAATTTTCCAGTATACATTATTAGGAATTCTTTCAACTATGTATTTCGTTAAATTTTGTCTTAATGCAGGAGTTAGTTCCATTTTTTATAATTAAAACACCAACATGAAAAGTGTCTAATTTGAACATCATTGATTATTTTCTTTGATAGTTTCACAGTTCACATAACGACCACGAAAATTGGTGTTCACAAGATTCTAGAACACAATATTTTTCCGTGTAATACACGTTTTATGTCTTGCTCTTTCTTAGCAACGTGTTAAGTTGCACCGAACTTTACACTGAACTTCTTAAACTCACTACTTTTCAATGATTGACCCTAAATACAAATTATATTATGGAATTTTCTGGTACATAACAACTGTTTGTGCTTGATCATATGAAGTTTCTAATCTAAAATCTCAATTAAATAGGAAGACGTATTTTTATTGTACACAACAGTCAATCAAACAGCATTACAATAGAGAGTTATAGAATCACATGTTATTATTGAAGTATTAATATTCTTTGTTTGAGCCATTTAATAAATTTCACTATAAATGTTTGTAATGCACAGACAAAATACCTTGCGGTAATGTAGAAGATTTGTATCATTTTGTTGGACTTTGGATCTTTCACACAGTAATTTTTATGAATTGCATTTATGAAATAATTCAGCCTAGTGATATGTTTGGTATTGTTGGGTTCTCTGAGCTAGACGGTTTATTTACGGATAATCCGTGCAGTAAGATAATCAGTGATAAACAAAACCACAGAAATGTACTGATTTACGCGTTGTTGAACAACTAAAACGACCATTTCTAAATGATGTTTACCTCTTATAATAATGTGCAAAACAACAGAGAACTTAACGACATCAAAACATTCACGTAAACTGAAAATTTCGCCCTCGATTAACCAATATAAATAAGAGAGAAATCGGAAGACGAGTTCATGATGTAAAATATTCTAAATGAAGTAGAAAAGCTCATTAAAAGTAGTAATAAATACTGAGAGCAAAAGAGAATTATTTCTAATGAAAGCATACCGATTTCAGTAATATTTTTATGTTATCTGATAGGCTCGTCAATGGATATGCTTGAAACTATTATGAGTTCTCCTACTCGGTAAACCGAAAGAAGATAAATGATGCATTGACACGATAGGCTATTCGAATCTGTTTGTCCCTGACCCTGCTAACTAGATCGAGAAGTCTTGATAAGAATGCATTTACAGGCACCTAGAAAATACGAGGTCGACAAGCACACAACTCAAGCTTATTTATACAGTGATAGAAACGCCCACGAGAGAGCCACAAAAATAGCGTATTAACATAATCTATCAACCAATGATAGTCAAGGATTTTCAGAGCGGGAATTGTAAGCTGAAGGTCAGATGGCGCGAAAACATGGAAATTCAAAATTTTAGAATAAAATTACAAAATTAGGACATTTTCAAGTGAATTCTGGGGATCTAACGTCCCCAACATTATCTATAAAAGGAAAAGTCTTCTTCATGTTTTTTTCAATGTGATAAGAAGCCGAACGTATATGTATAGGGTAATAAAATCAATAATAATGGTAATGAGTTTACTACAGTTATGAACAGGAATATTCAACCAAAATGAACAGCGGAAGTGTTTTAGTGTAATTATTACAATAAAAAATTGATAAAGATAAAAGTCAAATCGTATGTTCTTAAGAAGTATTGCCTACAAAAGAAGAAGAGAACATAACTCACAGTAATAAAATTGTTTGTTTTTTATCTTCATTGACTAAATAACGTTGCTTTGTCAGTAAAAAAAGAAGTGTTTATAAGAGATTTATACATTTGTAATTCATTCTATGCAAATTTTACATACTATTACACTTTCATTTACTGTATAACGGGTCATTTATTTAAACAGCTTCACATTTCATTATGAACATAAATTGTAGCCTAGCAACAGAAATTTTTTTTAAATGAGCGTCTTTTTCCCCTCTCTCTTTTATAGTTTGTTTTTCAATAGAGTAGTATATATACGTATACAAAATAGTATATCTCAATGAATTTCACAAAAATGAATAAAACCGGAAGTTTATACAAAAGAAGATGATTAGCACAAAAGGTAAAGAACTCATATTTCATAACGAACTTTATTTAAACACTAGTTATTTTCTATTACACCTTTAACGATAAATGTTAAATAGAGCCAGCTAAATAAATAAATAGGTAAAAATAAGAAATTCCAAATTATCAGTACATTATTGACTCAATATGCAAATTATTCAGTTATAATTATCCGAAAACAAAAATCAATGTTTATCTACTGAACAGAGAAGTTTCTGTTAAGTGTTAAAGATATAATCATTCTAGAAGCAGAAATAACTGCTGTATACACATATATATTTAAAGGCTATCTAAGGTCACAACAGCTACTGAACTGAGCAATGTAGTCACATAGAAAATTATAGAAGACAATATGTACAAGTCTTACCTAGGGTATTATTGCTACAAGTTAAACATTTATTACACTGAAAAGACTTATAACGTATGAGTGAACAGTTTAAAGGTAGAAGATGAGTATATAAACCATTAGAAAAGCGTACCTAACGTAGATAACTTCTAAGTGTATGAAACTATCTTTTTAAATCATAAACTTTACCGAACAATACTTAATTTAGAAATTTAGAATACCTAGTTCCTTGTATTAATTTTGAAAATGTCATGAGGAAATGAAATCGATATGAAAATGAGAGAGTATTATTGATGAAATGTGAGGATGACCATCTTTTTTCGATGTTCCAAATCAGTGTGATGTCAAGCATTTCCAAGTATTTTTCTCCGTTCATTCACTTGATCAGTGCTGCGTGTAATAGCGTTATTTATACGGGAGGTATGACTTAAATATCTGAAACTACCTACATCTGTTGACATTTTGACTGAATTTTACCAGCTTTGGTTTATATAGGTGCATCCAATGTCTCGAAGTAACCATTATGACATAAGTTGGTGTAGAATAGGTGGAATGTGCTTAGTAGTGGAATCCAGGATGCACATTGTCTTGTTTCGTACTCATTAACTGGATGTACTCGCGTTCCAGAGTTGATGCTTTCCTCGGGACTTGGATTCAGTACTGTTCATGTCAAATGCCATTGCCTTATACACCTAGCTACTGAATCTGGGTGGAAATCCACTTATAAATGAGGTATGAGTTTCTGTTCAGTTTGAAATGGTTTGCATTACCCAGTTGTAGATAAATCCATCTGATGAAATTCAAAAGAAAGGAAACTTGCATCTTGGATTCCACTAACAGTTACATTCGAGATTTTTTTTATCTACAAATCTCTTCTATGAAAACATAACTGTTGTACATCCAATGTTCCTGGATGAAAAAAATAAATTAGGTGAACGTTACAGTTTCTATAAGCAGCATTCACCAACTGAATGAACGGAAAAATTTCTGAAAGTTCATCATTTCACACTCACATTGGACATCGAAAAATGGATACGGATACATGTCCTATTCAGTATACAAAATAGAACTTAAACATCCTAAATATTAAGAAAAGTCATCTTAACGAAACATAAAACATCATTGAAGCGTTCAGTACAAATGTCAGAAATATACGAACGCTTGATAACTGAGCAGATAATTTTGAATAGAATTACAAGACAGAAAGATCTATATGCTTCACTTTAGTCAATCATACTAGTAAAAGAGAATATCAAAACGTGTGACACAATTCCAGATTAATTGATTTAGTAATGAATAAACTGTAATTTTTAGCCTTTATAGTTTTCAAATTTTGTAACTGGTCATACTGTCAACACGTATTGTTAACAAAATGTATTATTCGACGTCAGGTTAGAAGTTCCATAAAGCCATTCATTTTTGACAAAATAGCTGAGTACAAAACACCTAAAGTGCACAAAGGTATCTTACAAAATAGAACGAAAGTTGTCTAAAATTAAGTAATTGCCATCTACTAACCATTACAAAGACTATCTGATCAAATGCGTCTCGGTTATTGTTTTGTTAAAGTATTCTACAAATAAACAGATAAAGCTATAAATAAACATATTTTTATTTAGTTACAGAGATAAAGTTGGGAAAAGACAGTTCACAAAATAGAAAAGACAGATTTGTTGGGGAGAGCGTTTCTGTACAACCATATATAGAAAATAAAACTCAAGGACACACCACTGACTGTGGACAGGCAAGTATATTAAGAAAGCGTCACCTAACACATGTATAATAAAGTCAAAATGGCCTTCTAGATCAACTTGTTCAGGAGCTTCTGCGCATACAGAATACAAACAGCGCTTTCAAAGTAATCTATGGAAATGATATAAATAGAGGTCATGGGAGTGAAAAGGTTTAAACCCCATCTCATGAAGTCTTCAACCATATTTGGTAACCAGAGCCTACCATAAGAACAACTTATTACTCATTGTTTTAACTTTGAATTCCAGTGAGCTTAACACGGAGCACTTTCGTTTATCCAATCTACATTGCTGTCATCATGTATGATGAGAGTACGCTTTTCAGTGTTCTGGAAACACTGATAAATAAACTCAAGAGTGCAGGAAACCAAGCCATGCTGGTCAAATACGAAGTGAGAACGAGAACAATTAATTAGCACTCTAGGATAATTATAAAAAGACACTAATCACAATGGTCGAAACCTTCAGGCGGATTCTAACTTCGTGAGATAATGCCTCCCTCAGAAAACTTATCGGACGGTATCATGAGAATCAAATCACGATCACACAATCAACCTCAACAACTAAGAAGTGTCTACTACTGTCCTACATTATGTACAAAATGAAATGATCTGATACATCATGACTTATATTGATCGATGTAAACAGTCAATGACACTTATTTTAGGAATTTAGTTAAAGGGAGCTCCAAGTATGCCGCAGAGTTATTCTAAATATAGCATTTAGATCAGTCAACAGTCATACAGACATTTTGAATCAAACCCAACTCATGAAG